GACAGGAGTGAGACATATTCCTGGCCTCAAAAGAAATCTGATTTCTGTTGGACAGCTTGATGGAGAAGGATAGTACAACTTTTTCAGGCTGTGAATAGAAGATTACCAAAGGAGCACTAGTCATTGCTCGTTGTAAGAAGACCGGTACTCTCTATGTAACCTCCAATTTAGAGAATATCATTGCAGTAGCAGATGCTGATTCCTATGGCACCAAAGGCTCGGCCATATGAGCGAGAAAGGAATGAAGATACTTCTATCAAAAGGGAAGATGCCGGATCTAAAGAATGTAGATGTCGGACTATGCGAGGATTGCATCTTTGGAAAACAAAAGAAAGTCAGTTTTACAAAGATTGGCAAGACTCCCAAGGCAGAAAGGTTAGAATTGGTTCATACTGATGTATGGGGACCATCCCCTGTTCCATCTCTTGCAGGCTCACTATATTATGTCACCTTCATCGATGATTCAACAAGGAAGGTGTGGGTTTATTTTCTGAAGAAGAAATCAGAAGTCTTTGATACCTTCAGAAAATGGAAGGCCATGGTGGAAAATGAGACTGGTTTGAAAGTCAAGCGGTTGAGGTCTGACAATGGAGGAGAGTACAGAGACAGTAGTTTCAGAGATTTCTGCGCAAACAATGGGATCAAGATGGAGACAACATTTCCCATAACACCCAGCAGAATGGCGTAGCAGAGCGCATGAACAGAACTCTGAATGAACGTGCCAGAAGCATGAGGATACATGCCGGATTGCCCAAATTTCTATGGGCTGAAGCTATCAACACTGCAGCTTACCTGATCAACCGTGGGCCCTCAGTTCCTTTGGATGGCGGAATACCAGAGGAAGCTTGGAGCAAGAAAGAAATAAACCTTTCACACTTAAGAGTGTTTGGTTGTATTTCTTATGTACACATGAACTCTGCTGAAAGAAGTAAACTTGATGCCAAGTCCAACAAATGCGTCTTTGTTGGTTACGGTGGTGATGGGTTCGGTTACCGGTTTGGGACTACGAAATCGAAAGATCATCAGAAGCAGAGTCATTTTCAATGAAAATGTGATGTACAAAGATAGGTCAACCGCAGAATCAAGTAATACCGAAGCTGAAACAAAGGAATTTGCTGAGTTCGAGGATATTTCTGGAAATGATGTTCAGATCAATCCTGAAGCAGTTCAAGAAGAACCACACACACCAGAACTGAGACGCTCCTCCAGAATTCCTAAACCAACCCAACGGTATTCGCCTTCTTTGCACTATTTGTTGCTGACTGACAATGGTGAACCAGAGTGCTATGATGAAGCAATGCAGGTGGAGGATTCAGTCAAGTGGGAGTCTTCCATGAAAGATGAGATGGACTCGCTTATGTCAAATCAGACGTGGGAATTAGCTGAATTACCACTAGGCAAGAAAGCGCTCCATAATAAGTGGATTTACAGGATCAAAGAAGAACATGATGGGAGAAAACGCTACAAAGCAAGATTGGTTGTCAAAGGTTTTCAACAAAAAGAAGGTATTGACTATAATGAAATTTTCTCTCCAGTCGTAAAACTGTCTACAATCAGACTGGTGTTGAAAATTGTAGCTGCGGAGAATTTACATCTCGAGCAGTTAGATGTAAAGACAGCTTTCCTTCATGGTGATTTGGAGGAAGAGATCTATATGAGGCAGCCAGAAGGCTTCATAGAGGCAGGCAAGAAAAACCTGGTATGCAGGTTGAAGAAGAGCTTGTATGGTTTAAAACAAGCTCCTAGACAGTGGTACAAGAAGTTCGATAGTTTCATGAGTAGCAGTGGTTTACCAGATGCCAAGCAGATCATTGTTGCTACATCAAGAGGTTCGACAATAGTTTCATTATTTTATTGTTGTACGTTGATGACATGCTCGTTGCAGGCTCAAACATGCAAGAGATCATAAACTTGAAGCAAAAATTGTCGAAGTAGTTTGCTATGAAGGATCTGGGCGCTGCAAAGCAGATTCTTGGGATGAGGATCAAGAGACACAAAGTCGGGGACTTTGATGTTATCGCAGGCTGAGTACATCAACAAAGTACTCTCCAGGTTCAACATGCAAGATGCTAAACCAGTAAGTACACCTTTAGGTGTTCATTTCAGACTCTCCAAAGACCAATCACCAAAGACGGAGGAAGAACGTGCACACATGGTGAAGGTGCCGTATGCCTCAGCAATTGGAAGTCTGATGTATGCCATGGTTTGTACCAGACCAGATATTGCTCATGCAGTGGGAGCTGTTAGCAGGTACATGAATAATCCGGGCAAGGTACACTGGGAAGCAGTCAAATGGATCCTCAGATATCTTCGGGGTACCACAAACAAAGCACTTTGTTTCAAAGGTGGAGATATGATACTGACAGGCTATGTAGATGCTGACTTAGCCGGAAATATCGACATCAGAAGGAGCACTACAGGGTATGTCTATACTCTAGGAGGAACTGCAGTGAGTTGGGTTTCTCAACTACAGAAGATAGTTGCTCTCTCCACAATTGAAGCAGAATATGTCGCTGTTACGGAAGCCATCAAGGAGATGGTTTGGCTCCAAAGTTTCTTGGAAGAGTTAGGCAAGAAACAGAAAACAATATCTTGTATTGCAACAGTCAAAGTGCTATCCATCTAGCAAAGAATCCGTCTTTTCATTCCAGGACAAAGCACATACAATTGAGATATCATTTTATCTGGTCTCTTCTGGAAGATGGGATTTTGAAACATGAAAAGATTAGTGGAGCTCAAAATCCGGCAGACATGTTGACAAAGACGGTGACTACGGACAAACTGAAGTTGTGTTCAGCTTCAGTTGGCATGCTAGAATAACAAGACCAGACATGCTGCTGCATTGATCGAGGTGTGAAGACATATTAAAATCAGTCTTCAAGTGGGAGATTGTTAAAAGTTCAAAGATTGGCAACCAACTTTGGAAAATGTTTTTTCAAAGTTTGGTAAATGTTTCTTTGAAAAATGTTTTTCAAAGTTTGGTAAAATTTTGGTAGATGTTGTTGAAAATAGGAATGGGTAAATTCACTTTAGTCATTGCACTTTAGGGTATTTTCAAAGATTAGTCCCTAAGTTTACTATAAATACCCTTGCCCATTTAGCTTCAAAATCATCCCAAAACATTTCTTTCTTCCTATACTAGAGAGCTTTCTTGTGAGTAGTGAGTGTTTTGTAAACACCTGTAAATTTTCTCTCTTAGTAAAAGATCTGCAGCAGCCCGGAGACGTAAGCACAATTGGCTGAACTCCGTTATCAATTTTCGGGTATTATTTTTCCGCTTTTATTTCGCATTCTCACTAATCTGGTTATAAGGAAATTACTTGTACTCGGTTATTTTCCTAACATAATGGGGTTAGGGATCGAATGGCATTCATTTGCAGTGGAAGCAGCTAAGAAATTCTGGTACAAATTCTCCTATTGCTTGGTCAATCATCTGAGCCCCAACAACCTCGTCAACTTCCTCGTTTTCGGCGAAATCAATGATCCCACGACGCCGAAAATGCAGTACACGGACTTGATCCTGGGGATGGTGAATCCATTTTATGCCGTAAACGTCTCCGGAATCTCCATCAACGGTATTGCTCCATATCCCGTCGAATGTATGGGATGTTGGGAGCGGCGGGCGGCGTTATCGTCGACTCGGGTTTCAGTTTAACTCATCTCGTGAAACCCGTGTTCGACCGAGTCGTCGCCGCCTTCTAGCTCCCCTTAGCAAATTCAAGAAAGTGTCTCAAAGCTCGGAGGGGCATGACCCGAATATTTGTTTCGATGATACCGGGTACAAGGAGTCGATGATGCCGAAACTGGAGATCCATTTCGCCGGTGGAGCTAAGTTGATGCCGCCGGTGAAGAGTTACGTGCTCGATGCGGTGGAAGGGGAAAAGTGCTTTGGGTTCACCTCCACGCCTTGGCCTAGATCAATGGTGATCGGAAATATTCTACAGCAAAATCATTTGTGGGAATTTGATCTTTTAAATAGCAGTCGAGATTTGCTCCATCTAGCTGTATTTGAATGATAGATAAAAATGGGGAGCAAAAACTAGAAGCCATTCGAGTCTTCTTCTTAAACAAATTCTTCCATTTTTTTGATGCAGAATTCTTCCATTTTATTAGAGTTAGAATGATAGAATACATATGATATATCCAAGTTATTTGGAATTTGTTAGGGGAAAAAATTAGATAGCATTATTATGGAGTGAAATTCGAGTAACCCACAAACAAGTTGGATCAAGTGATAATCAGTTTGATATCTATTAAGCGATGTTTCAAATTCAAGTCCTTGCGTATTTAGAAAATTTACGCTGGGAGATTCACCACTAAAACTAGGTGTACGACCTGAGTCGGTTTAAATTAATCAAGGCGAAGCTTTGAAATTAGAGTACAAAAAAAATCTGAGTAACTCGAAAGTATTGAACGAGTAAATGGTGTTTAATTCAAATGTTAAAAGAGTAATAAATTTTGATTGTAATATAATATTTTCTCATATTTTTATTAATTCAAAATGTTAATTTAATTTAATCATTTGAAATAAAATTTTAGTTTCTTCATTGTTTGAACTTGACCAACCCAACCTACTTAGGGAATGACATGGGATAAATTAGATCGGGATGTTCACTTAATCTGATTCGATCTAAAAAATATACAATCTTCATTTAAATCGGGTTTAGAATGATATATGGAGTGATATTATTGCAATTATCTCTAAATATATTTATAAAAATATTAATTTATTAAATAAAAATAGAGATATAACTAAAAAATAATATAAAGTGGTATTGTTGCAATTATCTATAAATATAAAAGATATAATTTTTCACTAATTTATTTTTGACAATTCCATGTAATGATTGAAATTAAGTGAAGGCCCAGAAATAAGTAATAAAATGGGCTTCTTTTATTATTCTTAGCATGACCCAACTCACAAGGAAAATATCCAAAGACTTTGCATGCAAGTTTGGTATTTATTTAGCTTCTCTCTTGTCCGCCTCTGAACAGGAGAGGGTTTTTTCTTCTTCTTCCACTTCTAGCGCGCGCGCTCTCTCTAGAAAGAAACGGGATTAATCACGGAGCTTTGCTTTTCCGATCGAAATAACGCGGTAATCATCTCGCTTTCTATCATCTTTTGTGCGTATTCCTGATCTTTTGGGTAAGCTATTTGAACAAATGATTTTATTGTTACCTTTTCCGCTTCTCTATCAATTCTGTGGGATACGAATATTGGTTTTCTTTTAATTCCATTATGGATTCGATATCCGAATACTAGGTGGTTTCGATTGTCTTAGCTTCATTGTAGCTAGTTTTGGGGAAATATCCTGGTGAGGTGGCAAAGGTTGCTTGTTTTAGCTTCTGCCTGTGAATAAAGATATATACACGGAATTTTTTTATCTGTGAGCGTTTGGTTGTTGTTGAATCCTCAAATTCAAAACTTGGTTGATTCTTTTATTACTTGAAGACTTGAATCATGTGGATTCTGTGTAATGAGTTCTGTGCAAACAGGGTCTTTAGCGATGGCTACTGAGATAGTGAATAATGATGTTCTTGCGGGAGACAATGAGGAGTTGGAGACTTCGAATGGCATTGAGAAATTAGAGATATCAAATGGCAAAGATGACTCATCTGCTAACTCTTCGTCTATTCAAAAAGATGAAGATGGAGGCGCAGGTGATCATTTTCTGTTGAATAATTCTTTGACTTTTGTATTTTATATATGCTGCTGCTTGTGATGACCATTCATGCGTTCTGCAACTTCCGTAAATGCTATGATGGTACTTCAATGTTTTGAAATCCTTATAAGTTAGCAACAAACGTCAATAACTGTTTTTCCCTAAATTGTGATTATTTCTCCTGTTTCTTTCCAAGTTTCAATTCCCAACCCATTTGGTTTTGCTTTAAGATATGCTGTTCCAATAAGATGATGATAATGCTTCTCTTAAAGGATTCATATTTTAGTGGTATTTTCAATAACTTGATTTTTTCTATAAAATACAGCTGCACCTTTTCTTTCTAACATGTATACTTTTATGCATTCTTCAAATTGTTATCTAGCAGAAGTTGCAAAGAAGAAAAAGAAGAAAAATAAAAGCAAGTGAGGACCTGCTTCTAATTTGGTTAGTTCATGTTCTTATTGGAGATGATCAGTTGAGAGTTTGACATTATTATTTCAGGAAAAAGAGGAGCCACTGAAGCAGACTGACCCTCCATCTATTCCTGTTGTTGATCTTTTCCCATCTAGGGAGTTTCCTGAGGGTGAAATTCAACAGTACAAAGACGAGTGAGTCTTGCAATTTCCTTGAACTACACTTAAATACAAGTGCACCTTTTTCGTGTTAATTCCTAAAGCTGAAGAAAGATCTTCAGTGCATGTTATTTTTCTTTTTAAATTATAGTAAACAAAAGGTGTTTACAACACAAGGATTTGTAACCCTTCAGATCGATGCGGATAGCCCGATCCGCTTTGGAGTGTCACATTAGGGTCACCGGAGTGTCACATTAGGGCCACCAGAGCGTCACACTGTAAAAATAGCAGAAAATTTAAACTTTTCTTAAAACATGTAAATAAATATAATGATTTATTATTATTCAGAAATAAAATAGGTTTTTCAAACTTAAATATAAAACAAAATACAATTCACATGCCCCCTAATCACATGTATCATTCTCTGCAAGCAACGCCGGAAGAACTACCTTACTGATGTCGATAGCTGCACTGGTATAATTCTTTTAACCTGCAATGTTGAGTAATAGAGTGAGCTTCGGAAAGCTCAGTAATACAGAACTACTAGATGATGCTACATGACATGTAGATAAATGAAAAGCCATAATTTCCTTATTGAATCATACGTATACCAGTTTGTAGAATAATTTAGGGTCCCTAGGGCCTTAGAGGTTCATCGAGTAGAAGCATGAATCTCAGTTCATAAGAAACCTTTCAAAGTATGACATTTTCAGGAGATCGAATAGGATGTCTAGTGTGTTCCAACAGTATAATAAATCATAATAAGTACATTAAACAAATCATAGTCTAGTAAATCTCACAATTCGTAAAAGAGTTTAACTTTTGAAAATCATAGTTTAAACCCTTTTCTGGTACACCATCAGTAGTTCCCAAAATTATTTTCCATATAGCTTACTTTATGCACATAGCAAAAGAAAGCCGACTTAAGGATAGGCTATGAAGCTGTATCCTTAAGCCCAAGTCAATAAGTCCATATAGCTTACCCTAAGCACACAGCAAAGGAAAGCCGACCTAATGAAACATCTTGGGGCCCTCAAGAGTCACATTAGGCCCATTTAGCTTGATCAGAGCTATTCTATCGAAATTCAATTCCAAATTTAATTGCATCGTGACATAAATTCCATAAATCCAAAAACATGGTAATCATATACCATTTCAAAACAAAAAATTAGATAGCAACCATATTCCATAATTGTCACATTAAATTGGTGCATCCATAAAACAATAACCAATGAATTCGGTGTACCACATATTAAAACCAATAAAACAGTTCAGTAATAAGTAGGGAACACACTAGAGAATCCAAGTATTTCAGAGGCCATTGTAGTTATCATTTGGATAACATGAACTTATGAAATTTGATTGAATCCAGGATAAGGTCCTATTGAGGAGAATCGATTACTAACCGATCTAGCCAGACATTTAAGGTTGATACATTAGAATCCCACTATATTTTCGTGTGCATTAGGAAAACGTTCAGGAACCTTTATACATAATAATTCTAAATTCAGATTTACTGCGAGTGATTCCATTACCCAAACAATCAGGGGTATTCAGGAATATACTTTGAATTCATAGGATTTCAGCCCAATTGAACCAAATGAGATATTCAGAATCTTTTCCTTCTGCGTTACTTGTTTTTTTTTCAAAATGACCGAAGTGATTTTAGATGAAATATAGAATCGAAGATTCAAGTCATTTACAATCTACGACTATCGATCATATTATCAAACACTCGAGTTACACAACTCCTAAACTGATGCATGTCAACCAAGTCAATCATTATCCTTCCAGTGTATTCACTCTTTAATACCATAATGTAGATCCATAGATCATCCTCATAATCATCACTGAATAAATCTTCCAACGGTCTTTATTTCATTTCCACGTTTCAACAATATCAGGAAATCGGACGTACTTGATCCATGGCTCATAACCCATAAGGACAATTCATCATGTAAGTTCAACAGTGTTACCAAACTCATCCAATCACCTATTAATCCTCAGTCATTAATGTTACTTGGTTCGTTTAGTAAACAAGTCTATCACGATTACTTTAAAGTTTTCCGGAATAATTCAGACGTTTCTGAATTTCAAATACACGTTGTACTTCATTTCAGTTCAATTTATTCATATAATAAAGTCATTCTAGTATTCGTGGTTGATTTGACTCACGATACCCACTATTAGTACTGTATGCGCTCTAGAGTTGAGCTGAGCCAAGTACTTCCAGAATTATCAACGATCCCATTTGGGAAGACGAAAAAACATTCAAGTGGTACTTATATCATTCAGGTATGATATAGCACTAACGTTGGTTGATCACTTAAGTTGCGTTCCACAACTTTTACTGGTAGCACAACATCTATGTTTATTTGGATTTCTTAATTAATCCAAGACATTTATTTATTCTAGGTCATAAGGGCATTTTGGTCATTTTGGTACTCATGTTTTTTCTATTCATTTCAAAGCTTGAGTATATCCATTCATTCCTGAGCTTGGGACATTCTTGAGTCATTTCCATTCCAGGGGTATTTTGGTCATTTACAATTCTAGAATATTTCAATCATTTCCTCCATCCGGTCTTATTATTTAATTCAATCTTATCATTTACTTCAGTCCTTTCGAACATTCTGACATCTTACAACTTAAGGGTATTTTCGTAATTTTACCCTATCGGAGTATTATCAATTTCCCATCCAAATACCTTTAACATTTAACCTTTGATGAATAAACTATAAGTTACAAATCCATGTTGATTTCGTTATCACTAAGCACAGAACTTGTAATTTAATTCTAACAATCCTCAATTTCTTATAAAAATCATCTAAACCATAATCAATTATGAACCCTTTTTACCGTATTCAGATCGAGTGTAGAAACTAATTGACTACACAAATAAGACCAATTATCTTAATCATGCATTACCAATATTCACATGTTCCATAAAGCATAAAGAGGTAGTAAAGTATTACCTCGATTTCTGTACAATATTGATCGACCATTAAAATTCCATTCGAATGCCTTTGATCTTCAATTCAACTTCCAATAATTCTTCAGATACATATCACATAAATTATATCAGAAACGGAGCTTAATTGCGATAAACAGATCGAATCGGGTGATAAATCAGTGAAGACGGCTTACCGGGTTAAATTTACGAAACGGACTTCGGATTCGGATTCAGGACGTCGAAAGCATAAATATGACTTTTCAGAAATTTGGAATTTTCGGTCAAAATCAAAGTCAACGGGTTTGACCGACAATTTCGAGGCCTCCGGGTTCGAATTTTGAAAAACGGACAGCGGAATCGGATTTGGAACGTCGAAAAATGTCAGGATAGGTATACTCGGTCGAAGTCAAAGGTCGTTTAATGCTCGATCAAAGCCGGTCAAAGTTTGGTCAACAGTGGTCAACGCCGGTCAAAGTTTTGGTCAACGCCGGTCAACGGTCAATGGGTCGGGTCAGCAGGTCGGGTCGGGTCAACGATCGGGTCAGGAGAGTCGGGTCGGGTCAACGGGTCGGGTCGGGTCGGTTTATGACCGGTCACCGGGTCAAAACAGTTCAAAAACCGGTCAACCGGTCACTTTTTCCTTCCCCACGCGCAGTGGCGGTGCGTGAACAGTGATAAAATCCCGGAAAATTTCTAAAAATTATTTTGAGCGATTTCGAGATACTTACAAAGTTCGGTTCACATTTTGAACGACGAGAGCTCGATTTCAACAAATCGGAAACTTTGACCGACCGCTTCACTTCCTTACGCGCCGCCGTCGGAGGACACCAAGGATGACACCGGCGAACTCGGAACGATGCAACGAACACGATGGTGTGGGAGTGTCGTCGAACGATGACCCGATCGTCGTGA